GGGGGGGGGGGGGGTAGGGTGTCTCTAGTACCCGATATCATATAAACAGCGCCTTAGACTGTTACTATAGTAACTGCGTATGTCGGGAACACTACAACAGTGTAAACCAGTTGCTATGAGCCCTTGAAATCCGAACATAAGGACGACGACTTTGGTCAAATGTTAACATTCTTTCCAAGATCGATTTAGAAATCATTCTTCGCCTTAATTAAAAAGAATTTTCAAACAGAATTGAGAATTCTAATATACAGTATGTTTTTAAATTAATAACATTGAGTCTACCTAATGTAACTCACCGAGGCGATTTTTACTTTTTCAGTAGGGCTCAGAAATATTTTTCAAAGCTCTATAGCTCTATAACTCGGCTCACAATGTTTGGTGAAAACTCGTAGCAACGATGAGGGAAGTTAAACTTCCAGCATAGCACCTTGAATTTTAGAATTTTGTGACGTCAAGTGAAACCAACCTACAAGCATACCAAGTATTTCCCCAAAATTCCAGAGCATCGCTGTCTGATGAGTTACATTTACGTATTTTCTATTTTTTTATAGCTTCTCATTGATCAACATGAGAACTTCAATATTCCTTCTCGTTGTCATGGCAACTATTGTTGTTTCACAAGATGCTACAAGTGGTCCAGAATTACGGGATTGCGACAACTGTCCTCCAAGTCCACGCGGACCTAAAGGTGTGAAGGGTCAAAGGGGACTTCAGGGAGAACGTGGCATACCTGGGGATCCAGGCAGGGTATATTACCGTGGAACAGGGTCACAATGTGGTCCAGGTCCCTGCCCAACAGGAGCACCTGGTAATAAAGGTGATAGAGGATTACCAGGTGAAACTGGACCTGGCGGCTCTCTTGGCCTTCCGGGGGACAAAGGAAATCCAGGAGATGCAGGCCTACCGGGTAGGCCTGGTCCGTCTGGCTCTACAAATAGTGATGTGATGTATCTACCGTATAAACCTGGAGATAATGTGGGACAAGTTTGTTACAGTTTTAGAAAAGTTTGTGCTGGTAAGTAGTATCATATACATTAGAGAGTTTAGGATTTGTCTTCCACTGCCATTACCGCTACCATTGTTGGACCATTGACCAATCAGATACGCTTAAAGTACCTAACCAACTAATTAAATGCGTTTATTCTACCTGTCAGATGAGCGGTAGAGAAAATAAAATCTAACCTCTATATTTTTAAACTCACTTATTTCACTTAACAGGTTGCAAGTTGACATAAACAATAAATATATGGCGTTAACTAGAATTATATCATCATTGCTTCAGTTTCTATTGTCTTCTGTAGGTCGATATCATGTGAGTCCACTCAGTGGATGGGCAACTGTCTAAAAGCAGGGGGCGGTTTTGAATATCTCCAGGGGAGTGCGGAGCTGAAATAACCTGCCCAAATACAGGGTCGATATGTATTAATCAACCTCATTAATATATTCATGAGGTTGATTAATAAATAGCAACCTCTAAATGGGGTTGATTAATACATATTACCCCTCAAATTATTATGAACAAGAAACTATCCAATTTTCTTAAATTTTTCTGACAACAGAACTATAAATCGATTTTTCTGACAACAGAACTATAATACGGAGACAGATCGTTCTGTGTTGCTGGACCAAGATTGTGGAATGATTTACCTGTTCATCTTCGGATGTGTGAATCATTAACCATTTTTAAGAAGTTTCTTAAAACATATCTTTTTAACTTGTTTTTAAATAGTGTATGATGTATTCTATAGTTTTAACATTCTTAACACTAGTTTTTAAGATTGGATTTTGTATTACTGTAAAGCGCCTAGAACAGTCTTGGTTTGTGCGCTATATAAATGTTTATTATTATTATTATTATTATAACGTCTAACAATAAATCTTACCCAATCACATCTTTGCAATTTGAAAAGTTAAAAACACGCATTCGCTTTGACGACTTAGCTTTATCTACATTATCATTTTCGCTGCCGTCACCCTCCTGTTGTTTGCAAGGCATCCTTTTCAGTTTTAAGCTAGGCTTTACATCTTCTTCATCAGTTTTGTTAGTCCCTGTAATTATGCCTGACACCATTTCTCTCGACTTTTCACTTGGATGTTGGTAGGAGTGTAGAGACGCCAGACGTCTGTGACCAGTTCTTTCCATACAATGACTATTTACTACAATACGCTATGTCTCCTCTTTGTTACAGACTGTATAGTCAACACGATATTCATAACATTGTTTAACATTATTTAATTGGCCCCTAAGCGTTAACACGTAGTATGTTTATCACAATCACCATCACAAAAAAGCTATTCTTCTTTATTTTTAACTTCAGAAAATGAAGATATAAGCTAGTTATATACCTTAAGCCCGCCGCACACGAGCGCACTTGTCGCGCGTACTTGTTATTCGTGACAAGTTGGATCGACAAAATTTCCTCGTGTGCGGGCAACATTTACGGCATTTTCGTCATTCGTGACATGTAAACCAAATATCAAACATGTTTGATATTTTTCGTCGTTCGTGACAAAAAAATTCTCGTGTGCAGCGAGCAAACGACAAGCGCGCCTGAATAGGAAAATTTGCGCATGCGTGCAAGTTGCAGAATTAAAAACAAGACACGAGCTCGTGATTTTGATCCGCCATGTTCTTTTTAATTCTGCAAGTTGCACGCATGCGCAAATTTTCCTATTCAGGCCCGCTTGTCGTTTGCCCGCCGTACACGAGAATTTTTTTGTGACGAATGACGAAAAATATCAAACATGTTTGATATTTGGTTTACATGTCACGAATGACGAAAATGCCGTAAATGTTGCCCGCACACGAGGAAGTTTTGTCTATCCAACTTGTCACGAATAACAAGTACGCGCGACAAGTGCTCTCGTGTGCGGCGGGCTTTAGACCTCAGTGTTTATGCGCATATCAACCTCGGTGTTGCGCGCCTCGGTTGATATGTCGCATAAACACTTCGGTCACGGTATATAACCTATACTTACCGAATAAATAGGAACGCTATTATGTGTCTGTGAATTTTCTCAATATGACCTATCGTGTTCTCTTGGCCAAAAATGTCCACACTATGACACTACAAAAAAAAGCAACAGAAGCTACTCTACATACGAGCTTTACTATCTGAGTATCAAATGGGAAGAAGGCAAGTTAGTTAGTTAGTTAGGGCATCTATGAGCATCATGAGATTTGGGAAGTAGTGTTGTAAGCCAATTCAGAGTCACGACTGCATAACCAAATGATGCTTTCTGCGTAGGATCTTGGTCTGGGAGAATTAGAATATGCATATAAACATAAAAAATATTCAAGTATTCAATCATCAGTTGAATATGCAAAAGTTAATCCGCGGTTGACTTGTTTTGAATTTAAAAATATATAAAGACAAAATATGCTAGAACAAAAAAAATTGTTTAACTGACCGGTCTAATGTGGCCATAAGTGAAACACATATAATGTTCAATACTTTGACATCCTTATTTTTATTGCTTCCATTCTCAGCTATACATATATGATTCAACAGCAATTTATGCCAACGCATAACATAGTGACATAGTGAAAAATAAAACACTTGGAACTTTGGATATTACCACAGTTGATAATCATTAGAGAGGAGACACTCTAGGACTCTGACTATCCATTATCTGTATAGATCCTATTGCCTACAGATTGTCGTCGATTGTAGGGTAATGTCAATACGCCCTGGTTTCGCGACTCCATCTTGCCAAGTTGGGCAAACCCTTAGCTCGGGCGTCCGCAAACTCTTCTTGGTAATCTTATTCGTATAGGATATATCACTTTGTATAATGTTCTCCAAAATTGCACCCTGAAAGAGAAATTGAGAACGTGTTGTTTTTCGTTATAATAATGGTCATCAATAATAGACTGTTTCCAATCTTTATCGATGAAAGCAATTATATGTACAACAAAAAGCATCATCTCTGCATTGCTATATATCTGCTAGATCTGTATACAACACGACCTCTCATGCTCCATATACTGTACTACATAATTTATTGGAAATGTATACCATACCAATCCACCTTGGACTCCCTACAAGTACAAGTCAACTTGTATTATTGGGGCGACCCTGAGCGAGCCCCACAGTTTGGTGGCTCATCGAGCTCAAGCGCAATGTATTATGGTGCGTTGTACGTGCGTACACGGAACTTTTCGTGCAGTAATTTAAATCCTACCGGCCTTTCGCCTCGCACCAGCTATTTTGAGAACTTTCAGTCCCACAGTGATTTACAGTAAATTTTACCGGCCTTTCGCCTCTCACCGGCTGACAATTTTTCATGCGACATGCGATGAAATATATTCTTTATGTATAGGTAATAGCATGGTTTCGAGTGCAATTTGGATATAACATGCACCAGTGAGTTTTTCAAAGACCTCAAAATAGCACGAGTCCGAAGGACGAGTGCTATTTGAGGTCTTTGAAAAACTCACGAGTGCATGTTTATCCAAATTTCACGAGAAACCATGCTATTACTTATTAATAATTTACATAAGCGAGACAATTGTAGTTTTATAAACTTACGCGTTTATAGCGAACATTCCACTGGCAAAGTTTTCCTGGCTTTGATATATCATATTATACAACGCTAACAGCTTGAAAATCCACTCAACTATGTAATTTTTGTTGGTCTTGTTTAAGGTAAGTGCTTTTCCATTTAAAAATAAAGATAAAAGCCATATTTTCCACGCGAAGGCAACTTTTACCGTTACTTCTTTAAACTAAATTGCTTTAAACTGATTGTTTGATTTAATCATCACAATGTTTTTCCACCAATCAGATCAGTTTGTTACAGATTTTTGCACTGTGATTACAGAAAATTGCACTGTGATTACAAAAAATTGCACTGTTATTACAGAAAATTGCACTGTGATTACAAAAAATTGCACTGTGATTACAGAAAATTGCACTGTGATTACAGAAGATTGCACTGCTGTTTGGGATTAACTGCACTGAAGTCAACCAATCACAGTCGTGTAATATCTTTATGTATTTGCTGCATGTGTTGGTGTAATGTACTCAGGTGAATAAGATGCTTGTGTGATGTTACTCTGAGTGCACATCCACACCGGGCAGGCTTGAAAAATATGCCTAGCCACGGTGGGATTCGAACCTACGACCTTTGGAAAACTAGCCCCAATGCTCTGCCAACTGAGCTACGCGGTATTCTTATTCACCTGAGTACATTACACCAACACATGCAGCAAATATCATGATTATTAGATTACACTGATATCGAAGGAACTAGACTCAGTTCCGAAATATCGCATACTCGAACCGACTTGACCGCGTAGCTCAGTTGGCAGAGCATTGGGCTAGTTTTCCAAAGGTCGTAGGTTCGAATCGCACCGTGGCCAGGCATATTTTTCAAGCCTGCCCGGTGTGGATGTGCACTCAGAGTAACATCACACAAGCATCTTTATGTATATTATTAGCCAAATAACAAATGGCAATGGACAACTTGCATGTTAGACTAAATTTTAATCTAAGTAAAGAGAAGGGAATAAAATAATGAAATTAGTAAAATTGCAAGATTTGGTTGCGAATTGTTGTAAAATGCAGAAAATATAGCCTTGCGAAGTTTACAAATTTTCAGTATATTTGTATTACGTGCGGAAATTGTTGCCATTTTCGGCTCAAAAATGGTAACAATTCCGCACGTAATACAAACATACTGAAAATATGCAAACTTTTCTGTATTTTACAACATTTCGGAACCAAATTTTGCAATTTTATACTGATTTTAATAAGTTCTTTACGGGAATTTACTTTTTTTTGCCTAAATCAAAAAGTAGTCTAACATGCAAGTTGTCTATTGATTCGAATCGCACCGTGGCCAGGCTCATTTTAGTGAGAATTATTGCAAAATTTAAGCACAAACAAAATCATAACATATCGTTATAGTCTAGCGCGCGTGTTTTATACTGACAGCTAAATTTCAGGATAAATTGTTATTTTTCAAACTTTAAAAGTTATTCACGGCACATATTTCTGTTGTGATGGTTTGTATTGTCCTTTAGTTTGTATATCTAAGTTATCTAACTCATTTTTGTTCAGTTTTGGTATTAAATACGATTTAAAATGTCTTTTGACAGTTTGTTTGCGTTTGCTATTTTTAGCAGTTTTTGAATTTTGTGACATAAAACTGACATTTGAAGTAAAGAATATTTTTCAGGGAGGTCGCGTAATTTTGAAAATGTGTGTAAAGTACATGCAAATAAATCACCACAGCTAGAAAGAGCATACTAAGATTAGTAAATTGCAAAGGTTGGTTGCGAAATGTTGTAAAATGCGGAAAATATAGCCTTGCAAAGTTCGCAAATTTTGTATACTTTTGTATTGCGTGCGGAAATTGCTACCATTTTCGGCCCAAATGTGGTAGGAATTTCCGCACGCAATACAAAAGTATACAAAATTTGCGAACTTTGCAAGGCTGCCTATATTCTCCGCATTTTACAACATTTCGCGATTTTGTAATTTTACTAATTTTAGTATGCTCTTTCTAGCTGTGGTGATTTATTTGCATCTCTTCGCCTAGTTTTAAAATTAGTCTATAATGGGAATTGTCTATTCGTTTCATTTTAGTTCCCGGACTACGTAATGGTTGGCGTGGATGGTATCGAGAAGGTCAGAGTGGTTACATGATTTACAACAAATGGATGTATTTCGTCACCTTATCTGATTGTCCATGTGAATATGACAAACCTAGTGCACCACAGCCAGCCAAACCAAGAGATTGTGTACGTCTAGGAGAATGTCAATCTTTGGATTGAGGGACACTGAATTTTTTATCAAGTATCATTACTATTTTGTTATCTTTACATTTAAACTACAGTAGTAATACAGATTAAGAATTTCTCAAATGCATACTTTTGATTTAAATTATTGCCACGATATGTTAAATTTTGTTATTGGATTTTAATAGAAATATGTTGCAGGTATTTTTATGGTCAAACCTCTTGATATACACATTAGGGCCATACACAAAATGCATGCTACTTCGGGGACGATATATTGGACGAAAAACTATATATTAGGATCGGGCGGTTCAGGGTAAAAACCGAAAACCGAAAGCCGTCTGGAAAAACCCGAAAAACCCGATGTTTTTTAATGAAATTTCCTGATGAAAATTTAAAGGAAATTTCATAAAATAGTGGAAATACTGGGTAAAAAATATGGCGGCCATTTTGGTTGCGAATTACGAATATTTCGGTCTTATTTTCGCTCGATGATCCTCTAATACTCAATGTTTCGCGCGCTGTTTCTGCAAGTTTCAAGTATTTTCCCGATTTTTTTCCGGTTTTTTTTCGGTTTTTCGATTTTTTGTCAAAAGAAAAATCGATTGAATCGTTTTTTAAAAAAATCGGGTTTTTTGGTTTTATCGATAAACCCCCCGACCCTACTATATATTATAACTCTTATGAAGTATTTTCTCTCACACTACACTAGATCCCAAAGGCTCAATCCAAAAAAGCATGAATTCTAGTCTGTCCCGAATTATATATTAAAATGGCAGAGAAGCCACTACAATAAACCATGTAAATCGAGAAAAAATATTTTTGCAAGGATGAACTACATGTAAAGAATATACCATACAAAAAATTATAGACAGTCACCTTTGTTCCTTCTTCTTGCATGACAAATATTCCTACTTTTTAAGTTCACATTTATTATTTGCCCGCAAACACAGAAGCCACTCATCTTACCTTACTGCCTCGTCCATTGCTCTTTATGTTTTAAGGGCCGCGTTGTTCCTTTTTACCCGGGCTTTTTGGCGGGGGAATGGAAATAAACTGAATCTACACACGCGTATGTTATTTCCCAGGAAGGAAATCCAACATTGATGGTAAGGATGTAGTTCCCGTTTTAGGCTTACGGGAGGGACGGGAAAAATTAGAGGGGAAGAACGAAGTTTGACATCGACCCTCCCTGCCCCCGTACGCTTATGCACACACACACCTATACATTGTTCTTAATTAATCGGTTTTGAACAGCATTTGACGTAAGCCACTAAGCTTGATAAAAAAAATTACAGCTGAACATGGTTAGGGCCGTCGAGAGACTGCGGGACCCGGGGCAAATCTTCCCTGGGGAACCCATGACATCATTATTTTTAAGCTAGACCCGACTAGACCTTAGCTAGACTGCATGTGGAGGTACTGTAAGGGGCCCTAAATTTCAAAAATACTCTCACCAATTTAAAGAACCTACTCAATTTTAGGTTCTCCCTCTGAAGTTGGGACCCTATTAAGGTGGGGGACCGAGGCAATTTGCCCCCCTTGCCGCCCCTCTCGGTAACCCTGGACATAGTCTTGAATTCAGGCCAACTAACCTGATTTCAGGTCTGGAATTTGTCCTTAGTAAAAGCTGGAAGAACAAACAAACAATTGTAAAATTAAAATACAATCAGCAAGTAAATTGCACAATAGGGCTAAATTAATACACTGAACTGAATACTTAAAGCACAGTGCACCCAAATTCGCGCATGCGCATTGCGTTCAAAAACTTGAAAAACTTAATGTTGTAAATCAAGTTTTAAAAATCAAAATGGCGTCGTATATAAGTCTACATGCGGCTAAATCGAGGAATGCACATTTGCCCGACGCCATGTTGAATTCCGCGCAATGGCCTGGGTATCAGTTATGATGTCATAGTATCTATCATGAATGATGTAATCAAAACAAACGTTTCGCGGGAAAATGAAAATATTGGATTCTGATTGGATAATTGTCGCTCGCACATGTCTAAATAGTTATGTATATGTATAAAGCTAGTTTACACTTTACAGAAGCAAAAATCACAATAAATACACTTGTGATGCTTTTAAATCATAAATAATCATATTATAATGACTTATTTTAGCTTTTGATTTCATATAAAAGAAAATAAACCGATCGAAAACACAAAATATCAGCATTTCACGTTCGACATTTTTCACAGTGATTTGTATGCATTAATCGACACTTAGTCTCTGGCACGCAAATTTACTTTCGTATAGTGAGCACATAGTTGTGTGAACGGTAGATGGAAATTCCGAAAATACCCTTCGATTCTGCATGAAATTCTGTATCAACCGCCCTAGTTTTCCTTTTTCATTCAAAAACTGAACCGAGATATTCGCCCTTTAATACTCTAAAACTCGAGTCTTTACCCTGCTATAGGAATTTGTGTACTGAGTAGATGGAAAATCGGAGAACACCATTGAATTCGCCATAAAAATCAGTATCTTTTCATAGTAAATATCCCTAGTCAATTTAATAAAGAAAACTTTTTATCGCGTGTTTACCTTGCAGCTGACAATATAAATAAACTACGGATGTAGACAAGGGACACAGGAGCACTTTAATGGATAACCATTTTACTAATATATTATTATCATAAGATAACCACGGATGTCCCCAGTTAATAATGAATTCAAGATGGCGTCGGGCAAATGTGCATTCCTCGATTTAGCCGCATGTATACAGTCTACAGTACTAATGGGTAAAGAAAGTTTTACGTGTTTAAAATCAGTTATATAATGATGTATATTTGTGCGAAATCAAGGCTAATAATTTGATCTCCGGATGTTCCGAATTATCACAGTTATTATGTATGCGAAGTGTAATTTGATACCCGTCTGTGCAGATGAAGCATCGAGCGGTATTGGCCGAATTTCACATTTTTACATGCGTTCAATGCTATGGAAAGCTCTAAAACTGACAGTGACGATAACTTGCGTTGTCCTACTGAGCCAGTGAGCCTGGCCCATCTTTTCAAGCGCCTGAAAGTGGTACGCACGGTGGGAAAAGACGTGGTTCTGGGAGGAAACGCAAGCGTGAGGGAGGCTACCTAGTACCTAACGAGAACGTACGTACGAAGTGCGATTTGGAAGACCATTTCCCTGCACAATGATGTCTATGACCTGTGGATGGATGTACAAGAAATTTATCAACTACAATGACAAGTCGAGTAAGCCATCATCAAGCAACATCAACTCGAAGGCAATTAAAAACATAACTTTTAAATTCAGGTATTTATACTTTTTTCTCATACGTATGCCTTTTTAATACTCGCCTATGTGTTTTAAATTTATGAATGATATATACAGTGAACTGAATATATAATAGTTTATATACAAGATTTTAACACTACTGCATGTTCCTATTTTCTATTGTCACTGTAAATATTGGGCCTATAATTGGCCCTATTGGCTATACCCATCATAGAACTCATGGCGGTATTTGCTTTCCTGTCCTTGCTACCATTTCATCTCGAATATTTTTCTTGTTTTATCTCTTGAATTATACTTTTATATGATTTATTACTTCATAAATTCCTATATGTATTGGGCCATTTAAATATATACCCCCCCCCCCTATTGAGGGGTTGCTTCATAATCCCCTTAGGATATAAAAATTTAGGACTCCCTTGGGTGTGATTTTTTGAAGCTACCCATGGTTATATTTAAACCCCCTTTAGGATATCATCTTTGCCCCCTTGGATATCAGTATGGAGTATGGAGCCGTCGTTCGAGTAAGAGAGCTAAAAGATGGAAACCAGTGATTGTTGAGAAGAATGACTGAGCTACATTCCAATTCTGAGTGCTCATGTGTTGAAAGAGGCAAGCAAAGAGTTTCTGTAGAAAGTAAAACCATCCACATCTGATCAAGATCCAACAAAAATAGCCCTAACAATTGCCAGTCTACCTGCTCTGTCAACAGTGGATTTTGTAAAAGAACGTACCACAATATTTTAGATTACAGTAGATATACAACCTTTTCAGGCTTTTGATAATTACGTCATTTGGCCTGGGAGCCTTGCTCTCATGAATCGTGAGCCAATCACTTTGCATAATTTATTAATGAAAGCGAGGCTCCAAGACCAAAAAGTATGTGTGGCATAATTATCGAAAGCGTGTATTGTCAGAACTACTGAGTACTTTGATAAAAAAACAGTGCATAATACTTGCTCTGAAAAAATGTAAACAGTCATTTTAAATTGTTTATTTGTACATTCAACTAATAAATTTCAGGAATGATCTCTCTTGAAGATGACTACAATTTATTAGTGAAAACATACAAATAAACAATTTTGAGGATGTTTTTAAAATGCTTCCAGAGAAATTATTGTGCTGTATATAATTCTATGGGTTTGTGTCAAAGAAACTATGGGTGAAATTTCATATAAGGATCCCAAAATGACATCACATAGGGTTGTGTATGGGCTGGGTGAGAGTAAGGGTTATATTTTGGGATTCTTATATAAAACTTCATCTACAATTATGCCTCCACAATCAAAGATTTATGAATAAAGAGAGCAGATATATACAATTTCTATTTGTGAATGTACATAATTTATTTGTGCTATATTCAATAATTGATAAAATGGACAAATGTGAAATGCTGTCCATATCATAGAAACAAAATAACCATATTGTTCTACATAAAACCCTGACTGCCCACCCCCTTGACCCTCTAGGTCAAGGCATATCTGGTATGATGTCCATCAGGTGAAGGATGTTTTTCGAATTTTCCACACACGGCATGCATGGCTATGTATGTACTGACACACTGTCGATATGCTGCATGCCTCATCACTCTATTGTCATATGTTTGTGTAAACACATAGGTATCTGCCAAAACTTTATGGAGGTGGCCAATTTATCTGCGTCCAAGCAAATGTTTTGGAATGTGCAAGTGTTCCACTCTGAAACAATGTATTTCTTTA